TAAAAGACCGCCTTTATCTTCGACGACGTCGATGTAAACTCTCCTCCGCGAGGCTTTAAGCCCTAAAATCCCAACCTTACTCTCCCCACTTCGTCTTTCTCTATATGTCTTGATTCCTCACTCTTTTTCCCGAGAAAAAGAAGCTTCCGGTGAGAATATGACGAAGGTATATGGAACAGGCACTTACGACTTCAAGCGCCATAGAGTGGCTGAGTATCCATTGGAGTTACCTAGCCATCCTGCTGAGAAGCCCCTTGAGTCGAAGCCTGGATCCAATTTGCCAAGCTCCATCACTTTATCGGAGATTCAGCAAGATAGGTTAACGAAGATTGCAGAGGAGAGCTGGATTAAGACCGGAGGCAAGCTACCGGAGAAACCGTTCGATCTGGAAGTGGTGAAGGAGATTTATGTGACGGAGTTGAAGGTAACTAGTGGACGGAAACCGGTTCCGCTTCAGCGAGTCATGATTCTGGAAGTGAGTCAGTACTTGGAGAACTATCTATGGCCGAATTTCGATCCTGAGACGGCTACTTTCGAGCATGTCATGTCTATGATTCTTATGATTAACGAGAAGGTAAACCTTGATCTCGTCGCATTTGATTGTTTTGCTAATGATGAAACAAAACTTTATTGTGGGAGTTGCTAACAATGAACTTAAAATCGTTTCACGCTTTGTAGTTCCGGGAGAATGTAGCAGCTTGGATTTGCTTTCATGATCGTCAAGATCTATTCAAAAAGTTTCTTCAGAAGGTTCTTCGCCTTAAAGAGGTTTGTTTCTTATTTTGTTCTTTCTAATGTTGTTTTTGTTTTGAGATAATTTGGATACTACATGTGCTTTAAAACATTGTTTACATACCCGGACTGGGTTTCTTTTCTGCGAGCTGTGTTAGTATTGATAGTCTTAACTTTAATGGATTCACATATCACTGCTTTTTGTAGTGTAAACTTTGCTATATATTTGGGGGCATGGTGATAAATGATAATCACTACTTGTTAAACCAATTGTATATTCTTATTCTCTTGCTTACCATTGTAGGGGAGAGACTTGAACATTGCTGAGAAGACAAACTATTTGGTGTTCATGATTAATGCTTTCCAGGTTTGTTCTGTTACTTGCATATAATTTTTTTATATAGGTAGAAGTATTTTAGAATGCTGCTGCACAGGGTTCAAGATCAGAAATACATGATATATTAAGCAGTAATCACGGACAATAACTGTGTACTACTCAGTAAAAATGTCTGTCAAGATTTTTATTTCATGTGTCTACACAATTTGTAGCTTGTGTTTTTTTTTGTTTTCTTCAATATCCCTAACTGCGTGGTGTTACAGAGTTTGGAAGACGCAGTGGTTAATGAGACTGTTCTAAGTCTAGCAGGATTACAATCTTGGCACAGTTTGTCTTATGGACGTTTCCAGGTAGGGGTTGCCTTCACACAGATTTTGTAAAGGATGGTTATAAATTTTGTTGTTGCTCTGATATCATCATTGGTTCTGACAACTGTAGATGGAGCTGTGCCTTCAACCTGATCTGATAAAAAAGTGGAAGAGGTCATCAAAAAAATGGGCAGCTGAGGCATTGTCAAAGGGAGAGCAATTTGATCCATCCTCATCACCCGAAGCAAATTTTGTTCGAGGCCTAATAGAAGAATTCGTTGAGGTAACTGGCCTGTTTTAATTGGGCTGAAGTGGTCTATGTTCTGCAAATAACTTCGCATAGTTATGCAAAATTCGTATCTTTTTTTCTTTCCAGGTGCTTGATCACAGGGTTTTTGCTGATGAGATTGATGATACTGCTGGATCTCAATTGGTCAATGATTCTTCTGTATTATATTGTGAGAGATTCATGGAATTTCTCATTGACATGCTGAACCAACTTCCAACAAGAAGGTATTAATATTTCACACCAGGGCCTCTATGCTAGTTATTTGTAGACTAAAAGGTCAAAACCTGTATTCTGCATTCTAGGTGTTTTTTTGGGCCTGATGTATTCTATGTGCCACTCATTTACTAAACTTTTTTTTCTCAATCTCTTCATCTTGATTATTACAGATACTTAAGACCTCTTGTGGCGGATATAGCAGTAGTTGCCAAATGCCGACTGAGTAACCTATACAGACATGACAAGGGGAAGCTTTTCGCCCAATTAGTTGACTTGTTACAGTTCTATGAAAAGTTTGAGATAAAGGACCATGATGGAACACAATTAACAGATGATGAAACACTTCAATTTCATTACGATCGTTTTATGGCGTTTCAGCTACTTGCCTTTAAGAAAATACCTAAGGTATTGTCCTGGTAACCATGCTTAATTAATAGATCGTTA